AATGTTCACATTATTCAACCACAGTCAATATAAACAATCACTTATGTGTTAATTTGTGTCTAATTGTTGTTAAGTACCCGGCACCACTCCTATGCACTATAACAAGCTAATACTGATGAAACGTTCTAAAAATAACGAATTTTATGACGTCGTTAACTCGGTTTAACTTGCGTGGATATCGATTTCAATATATTCTCAGCTTTATGGTGGTAAATTGTTTACTTTAAGGTAATAAGGTAAATTATTTACTAAGGGAATGGAGAACGATTCGCTGCCAATTATTGCCAAATAACAAGACAAAAATATCGAACACCCCCCCCCTCGGTTAGAGCCCCGTTATTACGTATGTGATGAGCAGTGTGGCGTTCTTCATTTAAATACATGTACCTCGAACGGTAAAAAAAATATATGTGCAGTAGTAGATTGAGAAAAAAAAAATGACGAAATTTCTCAACTTAGAAGTATCATGGTAGATGCACGTTATTTTCAAACAATCCGTACACAATCCGTAGTGATTATTGTACGCACGCACCGTCTTGTTCGTATGTTCGAGCATTGACCTCAAGATCTGCCAAGTTATCGTCTGACAGCAGGGTTTAACCAATGAGACCACAGCGCACAAAATTATAATAAGTAGAATATCTAGAGTGCTGACTACCTGAATTTATAGATACAGATTTCAGCTGTACAAACTGATTTGGACCAATTTCAGATATAGATACGATGTGCATGATATTTGTTCAGTATTTAATAACAATAATCTTCGTTTGGCGGCAAATTACGCTGGAGGCAATGCAGAAATCAAATCGCCTTTCACATTTTATTTTTTTGTCAACATATGTATCAGTCTCGGCAGCATATGAACGAAGGTCACAGGTTGCGAGTCAGGTTACAGGTTGAAGAAGATTATTAAAAGATTTCGGAATATATAACCTCTTATATAATAAGAAGCTATGGGGTATACATTTTAAGCATATCAAACTGTTATATTATGTTATATTATATGTTTTACTAATTTAATTTACAGAATCCTGGAATGAAATTTCCCGCGGTGCTCCCCGTTGACACACGGTCGGTTACCAGCGATTTGAGGACGTGGTGCGTCAGTACAATATGGATAGGTAATATGTTTTGGAATAAAAAATCAGTCTCCACGTCGCAGAATTATACATATTTGTGACATAACAGTTATACTACATTACACGTAATTGGTTATAATATGATCACGTGATTAACTGTAAACATGCTACTGATGTCACAAGGCTTATCACCCGGGACAAAAAACCGGTACACGTAACAGTGCAGACGACAAATGTGTAGCATAGTTTTAATATGAATGTTCAGCTTAATGTTTTTCAGGGTGTTCCGTTGTCACGGTGCGAAGAATAATACACTTATTGGTAATGGTACCGACATGTACGCAATAATATGTTAATGTATGTTATAACGCAGTAAACTCTGTTCGAAATGATTAATTATATTGATAAATTATCCATAAAATGAGTTAATTATATGCACTGTGCTATTCCTGAAATTGTATATAGAACAATGTAAATTAAATTAATCTGAGATTCTGACGTTGACAGTCAGTTAGCTAATCCCCCAAACACGTCATGTGCAGTATCGTATTCGACTATATCTAAGCTTCCAGGTGAAGTACAGGCTATTATATGAGCGTTTAGCGAATGTCTGTTTCGCAGATCAATTATTATTTTTTTTACTTCTGTTGCTACTTTGAATAATACGTACAAAGTGATTTACACACTGTGTGCGGTTGATGTGTTTGAAGCGCGTGAATTTTCTTTGAATAAACAGTGCTCTTTTCTGTGACCCATATCAAACACGTCGTGACGACTACCGCCCATTATACTACCTGTCTGCCCTACTAGTCACAGGGATGAGTCAGACAAATTGACTGACCGACCGACTTTTTCTACACATGTACACCTTGGCAGGCTGCTATTTTGCAATTACGTTCAATAAGGAATAATGTTTTCCCGGTTAGTTGCGCAAGTAATTGATCATGTTCTGTTTTGGATCCACGTCCTGTCACGCACGGTGTGTTCAAATTCGTTTTAAACAATGTACTTAACACGGATTTGACGGATAACGAACACGGCACGGCGTGAAATGCATTACATCATTACATTATAATTAGTATATGTAGCATATTATCGAAGTATTGGTTCATTATTTAAGTACATGAATACGTGACAATGGGAAAAGAAAACAACCGTCATTATTACACTGTCTCGCCAGTAAGCTGCCTTGTTTGAATATTGCATAGAACACGTATTATAAGGTTATTACGAGAATACCTCAAAGTATGCACGAAACGTCACCCAAATTTCGGCTCCGCCAAAAAAATGAATTTATTACGCATTACACAGGAAGAAATAGAGTAACTGACTTGAAAATGGCGACAACTAAATCTACAAAAAGGTCAAATGACAGAAAGTAGGATCAGATGATGGCCGAGACTGGAAGAACAAGGAATCGGGAAACTTAGAAAGAGAACTTCAAGATGGCGGCGACCACGGCGAAGACACACTGGCACTTCCAAATAACCAGAAGATCACGCAGATTTTGAAAAATATTCTCGAAATTAAAACGGAAGTTGCATAGATTAGCCCAATGACTGAGAAGTTGGAAGGAATGATGAAGGCTATAACCGAAATAGAAAAATTTGTCCAGAATGCGCACGATAGAATTGACGATGGAGTGAAAGATATAGTGAGCGACGCGGATATGGTAGAATTGCGCCAGACATTGAAAGACGCAAAAAAGAAATTACACCGTATGGAAATGAGACAAGACGAATTAGAAAACAGAAGTCAGCGATCGAATATAAATTTTCTGAACATTCCAGAAGGTGCAGAGCGGTCAAAATTGTGTTGATTTTATTCGGGAATTTTTAATCGAGCACACAGGGTTCAAAGAGGCCGTTCAGATGGGGATTCAACGCGCTCACAGTGTAACCACAGAAAGAAAACGTCAAAGACCGATAAAGGTATCGTTCGTCAATGCAGGGGATGCTCGATCTATCCTGATGTCTACACCGAAGCGACTGAGACGTCACCCATATCAAGGTAAAGATGCATTTATTACGGACGATGTTAGCCTTCCGGTACAGGCAGACAGGAAAAAGCTTATTGAATATAAGAAGAAATTTCAAGAGGAAAATCCCGGTAAAAGATCCTTTGTGGCGTGCAGGGTGCCGGCTACTCTGATGATTGAATTTAAAGACGGAAAACTACAGGCGATGACAGCAAGAGACTTGTGAAATAACGGTCGTTCAGAGAATTCTACGGACTGAGGGCGATGTGAGACTTTTAACTTGACCATGGGACTGATTTTGTAAGTAATAATGCCCCAGAGGAAGTTAATATTCGTAGTTCAATGATTATGGTAGAAACATTTGCGTACTGACGGGGATTAATGATGAGAGAATTGTAAAACAACAGTCATTTTCTAAGAATGTTTAATAATGATAGGAGGGGGTGTTAGTACCAAGGGATTAATTGATTATAAGTGATTAGTGAAGCCCCTGAAAGAATTATTCCTCTTTGTGAAAGAATTATTGTTGATGTTTATGTATATTGGTGGAGCTGAGGGTTAGCATTGCACGCTCTACATCCCAACTGGTGTTTTTGTGTCTCTCTTAGCTTTTCAACCAGCAGAAGCTGGCTTAGTTTTTCACTGCTGTCTTTTTTGTTTATTGCATTTTTCATTTTTATTTTGTTCAATCCTTTTTTCAATCATCAGGAGAAAAGCTCTTGGGGTGGATGAAATCTAAAAAGCCCAACATAGTGTTTTACAGGAGACTCATAGTATTCAGGCAGATGAAAAATATTGGTCTAATCAAGTACAAGGTGGTCACTGGGTCTACTCTCATGATAAACAGTAGAGGAGTAATGATAATTTTAAGGGATCTTAGGTATGTGATAAATTCTGTACAAGAGAGCGATGTGGGGCAGTACATTATACTAGATATAAGTATTGATGAAAAACATATTTTATTGATTAATATATACGGCCCGAATGATACCAAAATGCAAGGCCAATTTATTGATGAAATTTCTGAATTAATCACCTTATGTGATGCTGCTCCAGAGGTATAAATAATTGTAGGGGGTGACTTTAACTTTACCTTGAAAGCACAGGACAGATTTGGCTCACATAGTGCAACAAGTAAACAAGCAGAGCAATCGATGATGGAATTGTTGGAGAGACATAAACTAAATGATATATGGAGAATTAACAATCCTTTGCTAAGGTGTTATACGTGGAGAAAGAGAAAACCAAATATTATTCAAAGTAGGATTGACTATTTCTTGGTGAGTGATACACTTCAGCAAGACATTATAACAACTGTAATAATATCATCGATTGCCTCTGACCATAATGCAATTACTTTAGTACTCACGTATGACCATACACCATACGGTCCGTCCTACTGGAAACTAAACAGTAGTTTAGTAAAAGATGCTAAATACATCGCTAAAAAAAGTAAAACATTAGTAAAAAAAGCCAAACAAAAACGAGAATATATTCAAAAACTTGAGAACCAAATGTCAGAGCTAGAAATCGAGCTAAATATAGAGCAAACTGAAGAGAATTATGAAGAATTTGAAAAGGTCAAAAGTAAACTTAACATTGAACAAGAATACACAACAAAGGGAGTTATTATTCGATCAAGGGTTGCATCGCATGAAATGGGCGAGACGAATATTAAATACCTTTTAGGACTAGAGAAATGGAAAGGAAAAAATCGAATATTACTAAAGTTAGATCTTAAAAAGGAATAGTTACCAACCCAAATGAGATTTGAAAAGATTTGAAAGAATTCTATTCTGACTTGTATAGTACAAAGGCTGACCCTAATAGAAATATTAAAGCACACCCTCTCCTGCATAAGTATTACACCTTTAAAAGACATTATGAGGAATAATTGTGATAAGTAAATAACTCAAAACGAAGCATTCAATATAGTAGATGATATGGCGTGGAACAAAACACCCGGCAATGACGGAATCCTAGTTGAGTTTTACGTTCAATTTTGGCCTTTGGTTGGGGAATTGCTAACTGCATCCTTAAATTTTGGTTATAAATTAGGTGTATTATCAAACTCTCAAAAACAAAGTGTCATTTCATTGATTGAAAAAAAGGCAGAGATTCAAAATTTATTAAGAATTGGTGGCTCATATTGCTTATACATGTTGATGCAAAGATTGGGTCTAAGTGTCTCGCAAAGAGATTGGGATATTATTAACGACATCCAGGGAGCATTTGTTGCGGGGAGGGATATCAGTGACTGTATTAGATTAATTGAAAAAATGCTTTGGTTTGCAGATGAAAATAAAATTCCTGGAATGTTAATTGCAGTGGACTTCCAGAAAGCGCTTGACATGCTTGAATGGGATTCTTTGATGGAGTGTCTGGAAGCCTTTCAATTTGGTCATATTTTTCAAAAATGAGTTAACACACTGTACTCTGGGACACAAGCGTGTGTAATTAATAATTGTTTCACTACAGGCTACTGTTCATTAAAGAGAGGTGTGAGGCAGGGTGATCCCTTGTCATCCTATATTTTTATTATAGCTTTGGAAATCTTACTAATTAATTTCAGAATCGACCCCAAGGTATTTATCTGGACTCACTGGAAGTCAAGTATTCTGCATTTGCAGACGACTTGACATGTTTTTAAGCAATGAAGTATAATGGACTGTAGTTTTTGAAATGTTGGATAACTTTCATCTGCTCTCTGGACTTTGTATCAATATGGAGAAAACTGGGTCTTTGGAAGCAGAGAAGAAAAAAAAGCCTTTTAAAATTAAATGGCCTGAAAATTCAATCAAAGTACTCGGAGTATATATCTCGTACAATGTGAAGAATAATGCCAATATGAACTTTGCATCACCTCTGAAACAAATGGAAAAACAATTATTTGTTGGAGAAATCGGGATCGCACTCTAATTGGCAAAATTCAAATTCTTAAGACCCTTGCCATATCGCAAATGAGTTATATTATGAGAATGACATATGTGCCTTCAGATATTCTTGACAAGGTTGAAAGGGCTGCTTTTAAGTTTCTATGGAATGGTTCAGACAGGGTGGCAAGGTGGGTCATGGTGACAGATATTGGGAAAGGAGAGCTGAATGCTCCTGATGTAAGAGCTATGCACAAGATGTTTAGAATTGTTTTTTTTAAATTTTCTTAGATTTTTGGATGAGAACGTCCAACACCTTTGGAAAAATTTCTAAACAAACGTCTTAGACAAGTGGGTGGTACATTTTTATTCAAGTGTAATTTTGAGACAAAATTGCTTAACCTGTCCTTGCCACAGTTTTACATAGAAGCATTGGAAGCTTGGTCGTCATGTAATACAATTAATGATAAAACTATTGAACTTAATTATGTCCCTGAGCAAATGATTTGGAATAATAGGCACATACTAATTGGAGGCACATCTGTGTATTATAAGGAGTTAAGTGTTAGGGGATTTAGATATGTTCATAACTTGTGCCGTAATACCCATCTAATGCAGTGACAAAACCTTCAGGATAGGGGATTGAGTCAAATTGATATACTGAAGCTATATGGAATTATTCAGAGTCTTGCACCTGAGTGGAAGACTTGGAATGTGAAGATAGTTTTGAAGAATTAAATACAGACCAGTGTTATTTTGATAACGAATATGTTAAAATTTCCAAAATTACAAAACTGAAAATTAAGAAAGTTCTGCAAAGTCAAAATGATTCTGTTCCAATCAGTGGGGGCTACTATGAAAGAAAGTTTGATCTACCTAGAGATTGGAAAGCCATTTGGAGTGGCAATAGATGTTAAGACCACAGAATTTCAGTTTAGGTTACTCCACCATATTTTATATACTAATTATGACCTAAAGAGAAAGGGGTACAAATATCTGAATTATGTAAATTCTGTGGAGGTGAGAGTGAGACACTTGAACACCTTTTCTTTTCATGTGATGCAACAAAATTATTCTGGTTAATATTCCTCCAGTGTTTCAGAGATGTATTAGTAATGAGGGAAGTGCCAACTCTTGGTGAAATTTTATTTGGGGAAGTGACTTTGTCGAGGTTGCACAACCACTTACTGCTTCTGGCTAAAAAACACATTTATCTTCATGAAAATGAGAAACCTAAAACCCCATTTTCCAACTTTTCTGAACCAAGTCAAGTATAACTATCATCTTGAATACAACATTGCTGTGAACAAAGACAAAAATTGAAACACACTGTAATAAGTGGATTAAAATCCACCAAATTGTTATGTCTTGAATGCACTTGTATATTAGTCTGTATATGTACGCAGTGTATTCTGCTTATTGTATGTATTATAAATGATTACCAATACAGCTGGAGTATCGACCGACGCGCAGAACAGAATCAGCGAACTTCAGGACTAGGTACTACAGAAATCATATTTGCAGAAAATGAACAGCTGTCCACCCATATATTTTAGTTATTTTCGAAAATGTAAGCCCGTTGATATTCATGTGATTCATAAGTGAATGGAATATTCGGGGTCTAGGTGGGAGGTTTGGGTTTGCATTGAGGGATACCATAACTCAGGGAATAACTCACGGAAAGAAAGACTTAAATCACGTAGACATTTCACTCGGAAATTGAAATAAGTTGTTTTGAGCGACTTTTGTGATTCTTCCTTTAGATTAACTTGTAATTCGTGACGGCAGTATTAATTACTATGGATTCTCTGTCGAAACGATAGAGTCATAGTCGAACAGATGGATTCACTAATACGAAGAAGAATTCATTATTGTGATGGTGATTTCACTGCAAACATGGATTCACTTATTTATTGTAAAGGCGGATTTGCTTATTGCTATATCACGCTTTGGCTCTTCACTATTGTTCTAACCGTGCCTTATTATCCGGTAACGATACTTACTGGTTACACAGAGACAACGCGAAGATACTTACTAGATTGTGCCCAATTGGCTCACCTACAACTAACAATCAGACCAATCAGGTAGCAGCTTATTTGTTAAAGTTTTAAATTCTGCCTTGTGTAGGTATATGTTTCAATTCAACTTTTTATTCGGACAGTTTCAGACCGTAGATGTTCTCCCATCATGAACATGTGTAAGGAATTTAGTTATTCCTTACCATTTAAAACGCGGTGGTCGTCGCGCAGCGCCTGTTCGAATTTCATGTAAATAAACAATGTATTTTACACGCGTTGTATACGTCGCTTTGAGCCCCATATCGAACAGGACCGGGCACGACGACTGGCGCCCTTTAAAATACGTTTTCTGGTGGCAAGACCCTGAGTTAGAATCATGTTTCGTTTGATCAGCTAAGGTGTGAATTTACTGCTCTACAAACTGGGCTAATCAGGTGATTCATGAGGGAATGCACTGTGTGGACCGTGATTTCACGTGCATTCTAACCGGTACACATACATCGTGTCGGATGCTTTGTATACAACCCAGTCGATACATCCGAGTCATCTACACACCGAAGTTACGTAACACATGCATCAACCGTGATGTGGTTTGTTTAAAAAGGCAGCAAAAGCTGGTGAAATCGACTATAGAAGCTAAAAACAATACGATTTAATTCGGTAAGCGTTCTCAAACGCGTCGGTTCACCCATAGTAACGAAGGGTTCATTATTGCGACAGTACCGTGACGATAGGGTCACACTTGAACAGATGATGTCACGCTTTTATCTATGAATTCAATATTTTAACAATGCATACATTCCGGAGATTATCTACATACGTTTTGCGTACCGCCTCCCTTAGATTGTGATACACGCTGACTAAACAGACACAATGTCACTGTGTAGCAACAATTTTAAAATGATTGTATCTGTGTTAATATTATAAACATACATAATTCATACAAACATGACACCACAATTTTAAATTTAGATTAGAATGAAAATAAAAAACAATTAAAATGGGAAAACCTTACAAATCAAAAACTAGTTCAAATACCTTTTTAATGGCGAATGAAAGAAAGCATCTTTCAACGTAGTATCGATCGGAAACCCGGTAGTTCTAACTAACATACTGGAATTCAACTCCAATTCGGTGACGCCATGTTCAATTTAAACCCGCTATGATCACCGAGCAGGTTCAATATTAATCAAGACCATGCGCCTGGAAACTAAATGTGGATCAATATAAGAGCATTCGTGATTCACAATACAAACAATAACATTCTGATGTCCCTACTAAAGAAGCGTGAGGATTATGCAAAAACTAAAAACCAAAATAATAGCTACTCTTCCGCTAAATTACTACAGGAGTCGAAAAACAGCTTACAAATCACAAAACTTAGAGCTCGAATTAAATGGGGGTCCTGAAAGTGATATACTGGAAACATTTTCCGATTTTGATAAAACGAGGCTCAAGTATGACGTACAAGAATTTAAAATTGGCGTCAGATACATTTAAACACTTATGGAACTTGAATCCACCGGCTATGAGCAAATTCTGTGATTATTGTTTTTCGTCAAATAATGTAGATGACGAAGATATCGAAGCATGATTACGCAACATTGATCTAGAAAATTAAACATGAAAAACCAAAACTTGAATGGACAGACCGGACAATTTACCGGCCAAATTAAAAAAAAAACGGGAATACGGTGACCCGTTGTTCACGAAACAGTTAATATAATATAGGCATAAACAGGGGATACTTCTCAAAGAAGTGCGACCTTATCATAGTTTACAAAATTATCGCCTTTGTACTAGCGGCTTGAATACAGCCAAGTCTTGGTAGAATCATAAATAAAGACTAGACGCGTTGAAGGTGTTTCTTTCTGATTGAAGTGCGACGTTGGTTACAATATTCAGTATCAACATTCATATAACTTAAAAGATGCTTACACGGCGACGATGTTCGATTTCAACTTTCTTAATATATTTATAATTAAGACCTTGGCAATTAGTATTGTAATGGACGACACTGCCACATCTTTACCTCAGCATCGGACTGAACCTTTAACGTTGAAAAAGTAGGTCAAATGGTCTTTTGATCGATCCACATAATTAGCGTTCCTGGTTTTAAATGACCAAATATACGAATCTCTAGATACGCCCCTGAAAGCATTTCCCTTGATCTGAACAAAAAGACTAAACGCTATATGAAACATCTTATCTTTACAGTAACATATAAGTATAAAATTGTAATGATTAAATCATTGGTATGTGATAAAATGTCATTTATTTGAATAATTGCACTGTGTGGGAAGTAGTAAAACGACAAGTAACGTTATTTTTCAACAACCAAACGCATAAATTTCTTCGTGAATATGTGTCGCGTTATTTCATCTTTAAAAGACTAAAATCGGTCGGTTAATTTTTCAAATGGTTTTTAATGACTCGAAGCAGTATCCTGAAATTGTAAACTTACCTGTTTTTTTCACAACAATACATGGAGCTGATGCTGATGCAGAAATGTAGATAAAAACATTGACGACCAAGTAATATAGTTTAATAAATAGGTTTATTTACAATTCAACTATCATATTTGTAAATGGCATTGTTGACGAATATGTTTACATAAATACTGACAAATTGTCGCGAGGAGATCGGTAGAGCAAACTGGACGAATGATATAGTCGTGCTATTGCAATATCCGAACATTGTAATTTTTGAAATGTAAAATACAATACACTTTGTTAGATGTTCACATGGTAACTACACGAGATTTTTATCTCTCACTCAGAAGTGTGAAATGCGTCATACGCCGGGTAAAAAAAACAAATGAAACAAGTTCATTGGAATCACTGAAATTATTTGAACAAAACTGTAAAAAAAAACATAAAAAATAACAAATAACATAAAAAAATGAGCGGTTCTGTGTATATATTTTGTCTCTGTTGTTAAAAATAACTGATCATATTATATTTATCATATTCAATTATATTTTGTATTTGATACAATTAACAACAGAGGACATCTTTTCATCAACTTTGTAAGAGTAAATATGTTCTGAAAGATGTAACAATAATGCTTATTATGCCGTAAATGTAGGAAATCGTTGATAGCTGTTGTCACGTGGAAATCACGTGGTAGTAAGGAAAAATCCAACACATACGCCAAACACAGCACATCTTAACAACGAAGCAACGCATAAAATAACAGAATGTTTTGCCACTAAGAATAAAAACACATTGCAATGAAGTGTGACTTGGAATTGCAAGCAGTGGGGGATTGGTGAAAGGGATTGACCAGTTATAAAATAATATCCACTCAAAGAAAATCATGAAAAAAAATCTTACAAGGAAAATTACAGAAAAAAATATATATCAATCTATAAAAGTTAAAGCACGATTGTTAACAAGAAAGTAAAAACTATTAAAGAAAGATCGTCCTGAAAACTACACCTAGAGAAAGGAGAAGCACTTTGCACACAGATTCTACCATCACCCCTCTTGTTGATTATACTGGTCAACCCATGAACACGCCGAGGGCTAATTTTAATTATAACCTTACTGCAAACAATATCAATATATTCACCTAGTCTGCCGGTGCGGCGTGTGTTTTTGTATGTTGTGCTGACAGTGTGACAAGTTGGCTTGTATTTGTTTCGTATTTGGATATTCACCCGTAATAATAGCAAAGATATATCCCGTGTGGCAACGGAAATGAAATGAAAAGCATGTAAATGAGTAGCAATGGCACACCCAACTGTAGTTTTTAGTACAAAAGTCCCATATATGAGCAGAAAACAAACTGAAAACAATCGACAAAACAAAAACAACAACAACAACAACAACGACGACGACAACAACAACTGACAACTACACCACACTACATAGTCAAATAAGTAAGAGAAGGATAAATGAACTCTATGGTATATATACGTGAAATGATGTCAAGTGTTTCAAAAAAGTGAGCACATTGTGCTCCACGTGTGGTACTCGCCGTGTAGCATTCGGAGTCGTAATCAAATTGTTTCCGTTTGAAACCCAGGGTCTACATCAGACAAGTGACATTGATTAACACCTCTTGAAAATTGAATGATGGAATCGTACATAAATAAGCAATCAGTCTTATATACAATGGTTTATTGTCTTCGTAGCTCCGCTATTATGTTATTATAATACAAGCAGTCACCGATATGATAGTACAACTGATGAATTCGTAGAACGAGAATTGCGCGTTGACACAATGCGTACGTGGGTACTCCTGTAACTCTGCTGAGACCGAGTGAAGCACGTCTCTTTCTGACGAGGAAGTCGACAGTGTACAGCCTTACTTAGCCGCGTTCGAAATGACGAACCGACAAATGAATAAATGACCGGGTTCAGGCAACTGTTGAAGTAGCATAGGCATACACTGACAACGTATGCAACGAGCAAGGTATAGTCTAAACTGCCAGAACCTTTGTCCGTGTCCGGTAAATATATTGTTATGAAGTTCAGTACGTAAAACGGCAGCCAGCAAACAACAAAACCAATTACTATAGTTATGATCAGAATAGCAATACGTCTTGATCCACGACGCATTGACGCCATTCTCTGCCCCGTGATGCCTTTACGCCACGTACGATGTTTAGAGTATGTCATCAATAACGCCAAATAACTAAAAAAGATAGCAATGAGAGGCACTAGAAATCCGGCAACAAATCCAAATATCAAAAACACAAAAGCGTTTTTTTGTGGATTCGGCCACATAATTTGACAAGTTAGTACGCCACTCGGTTCCACGTATAACGTAGCATAAAACCACAGTGGGGAGCTACATAGGAATGACGCGAACCACACACATACACTTATGCAGCGAGCTTTACAGGCGGTACGGTAGCGTTTACTACGAACCGGACTGGCTATGGCCACATATCGGTCGATGCTCATAACGGTCAAAATCATGATTCCTGTAAACTGATACATGCTGTCGAGTCCGTACATTATCTTGCACATCTCGAGACCGAAAATCCACGAACCCGTTGCATACGTGTATGAAAATAACGGCAATGTCAAGACAGTCAGCAGATCTGCAATGGCCAGGTTACTGATGTAAACGTCGGGGATGCTGTGTGACCTAATGTTTCGCAACAATACCATTAATACCATGCCATTACCCATTCCACCGGCCAGAGTTATTATTCCGTAAACAGACGGGATTATAATGTCGAAACGTGGATAACTGTAAGAGTTACTGTGGTTGTAATACTCCGATACATCCGACATATTGTCGCCTACGATCATACTTGTAACGTGCGAGTAGATATTCCCCGGGCCGATTGACGCTAATTATGTCACAGTTGTCTGGTATATACCATCTATAACATCTTTTGATTGTCACGACGAATATAACACGGGGATGAACAATAAACAGCAGCACTAGTAGGAGTCGTCAATACAAATATATAACGCGAAGATTGCAGTTTAATAGTATCGATGGTAGAAGTCACCACTATGAATATAACCGGGATTGTTGATGAATAGTAGTGTTGCTAGGAGTCACAACTACGAATATAACAGGAATTGCTGATCAATAGTTATAGCGCTGGTATGAGTAAAAATTTACTAAAATAACACGGGGATTGCCGATAAATAGTAGCGACAATATAATCTTAAGTTGCCACTAGAATTAAAGCCAATTTTGCGCACCAAGTTGTGAATCAATTCGTATTACATTACCTGAGCTCGGATATCTTCACAAAGGTAGGAATACTAAAATAATGATACCATACGCAGCACTACTTTAACGTGGTTTGGTCTTGAATATATATATAAATACTGTTTTACGTTCTTATGAGGTAGTCGTCGACGGCAGTTCCATTTCTGTGCAGCATATCTGTTACCCATAGACCTTGTGGCAATTGGCAGCGACTGAAAAAACCTCTCGAATTTTTATATCGTCATATCAATGTTTATTGGATGCGATAAATGATGCGATGTAACCATAGTTACGATATTTCTCTTTGTCGTGCCGTAAATGTATCAACTTGTTGGGCATTATATTCCATTTTATTATATATATATATATTGCATGACTTGATCATTTTTAATATATTATCGGAAATAAATGTTTCCCATTGCATAATGGTAGTAGAAATGTGAAGGCTGAAATTTCAAATGCGGAAACTGTCGACAAAACACAGGCAATGAATATTTACCTAGATTCGTGTTAAAATTACCAAATCAATATATCAACATTCTGTCATAAATACGTGTAAGTATTCATAACTGTGCAAAATGGTCACACCTGATGTGTTAATAAAAACATTAATGGCTTAGGGACTATAAAACATAAACAAATCCATTTTTTTATTGTTGACAATTTTGAAAATACAAAAAATACTTATGCACATTTAATGAATTTGGCGAAAATGCTGCCACCATCAGTATTGCCCGACATTATACATCTTCGGCAAAGCCAGCCCATACTATTAACTTTTGAATAACAAATCCGTCATTACAATTGTGAGTATTTGAAAGTACAATATCACCAAAATAAATATTTGATTTATAATTTGTTATGCATATTTGTTATAATATTCATCAAATATTAGAAAAAGTGTAGATATCCGGATAAAAATCAAACTACAAATCAGCATTTGGTGAGTGATATGTACAGGATCAATGCAGGAGTGGGAGTGCGAATTCCTGGTATTGCCTATGAATTTAAAAGTGAGCTGGGCAAAAATACAGATAGTTCTGAAACACGTGATTTGTATAGTGTACGCAAATGATGACGACAACTACTGAACCATGACATGTATTGATACAAGTCAATTGTTTGTTCTATTTCGATATAGTTATGCATATTTTGCGATTCAATGCACTATGTGTGATACTATAAAAGGTGATCAATGCCATTGTTAATTGAAGCCTTGAATTGGAATGATGTTAAGCCCCATGTTTTACCACAAACTGTTCCATAATATTAAAATGTGCAATGACTGGACATGAACATGTCACCAATAATATGTTTGTTTTAGGACATAGCGGAGGCTTTCAGGAAGTAAAATTTACACTAATTATTTTATATAAGAATTATTTTAAACCATATTTATTCACACTAGATTAAACATTCGACCTTTACGTTCTCACATGACTGCTAGTTGAATAAATAATGTATTGAAGATTCAACTTAATACTGTGAAGAAATTGAAAATAATACCGCAATTGTTTTCTTGTAGGATGTTGAATAAACCATGGGAAGCATTACAGTCACAGCGATTTTGCATAGCTTATTTTCTATTAAATGTTCATTTTTGCATTTTCACCAGAAAATGTTCTTCGTTTTTACATTCAGGTAGATAAATCTTCAGAATCTGTAAATTGTACAAACATATTTATATATACGTCACATCTACAGCCACTGAAAAAAGACTGGAGAAATCTGACAAGTGTCTGCTGGATTTTAATCAATTGATTGAACATTTTGATGTCAGTATAAAAACTGAGATATACGCTAATTTCCATATCAATACATGAATAGTGAAGTTGCTGCATTGTGTTTTGTAAATGATCATAAAATCTTTTGTGTCCAATATTTTGACATCCAGTAAAAGTAGATGACTGGGAAGCCTCTACAGATGTTCTAAAATTAGTTCACACTTAACTGAGTGATTTATTATATATTATTAAAATGTATCTATCATAACAACTCGGGCTGTCAAATGTAACTACTGCTTTAAGTTCGTTCCATTTATGATAGAACTTTGAAATTGTCATAAAGTGATGTGATATACATATGTTTATTTGCATTAATGTGTGCAAAAACTACTCCCTGATAATTATTTTTATCAAAACAGTAAAAAAATACACCTAAAAGTAAGTACCGATCACAAAA